GAAAAAAAGCATAGAAAAAAAGTGCTTGTATGACTGAGGCAAGTTGTGTAAACTGCTCTGAGTGCTAAGACAGAGTAGAAAACTGCCATGTAAGAACCAGTTCTTTTAGAAAATGTGTGTATGAAGTAGCTGGCTATGGTAGTTGAATATGACTCCTATCAGGAAAAATGCTTCTGGAAATTCTGCTGTTTCTTTTAATGGGTGAAATCAAAATATCCTTTTTTTTTTTTTTTTACAATTTCTCTGAGCAGTGTATGGTCTGACCTTGGGGAGAATTTCTTGGGACTTCCACTCCTGGGAAGATTAGCAACTTCCATTTGTGAATAATCTTTCTCATTGTAGAATGAGAGACTTGAAATTATTTGGAAAGAAGCTTCAAACCATTCCCAGATTGATGGGTGGCAAAGACCTGAATGCTTCAGAACAGCAAACTGCAAAAACTTCTGCTTTATATTTACAGATGATCAGTTAATCAAGTGCACCTGATTAGCAGTACCTGGTTGCTAGTTACCCTTGTAATTTCTATGGAAGCAATAAAGTCTACTTAGTTTTTCACACAGTGCTTCTTTGCTTCGGCTTGTGTGTGCCCAATTGCTGAGGATTTTATTTTTAATTATGTCCGGATGTGTAAAGCTTTAATAAAGAAAGAAGGTGTACTTTTTTTTTTTCATACAGCTGCATTTTATTGACCACAACTATTGACAACATGGTAAATAATTATCAGAAGAACAATTGTTACCACACAGAAATTACATTTTTGGACTAGAGCTGTAAAGGGTGGATTATCTCAAAATATTACAGATAGGCCACTTCAGAATCTGGACTCTAATAAAATTTTTAACAGTTTTTCATTTTGCCTCTGGCCTCTGGCCAGGAGAAGACAGCAACATTTCTGGAAGATGCTTTTTTATCAGAGCTTAAACCTGCATTTGTGGATGGCACAGAGAGCTGTGTTCATAAACAGTGTTTTCTAGAAGTCTGACCCCATGTAATGATTTACATGCCAGAATCGTGCTGCATGAGGGCCCAACTATAACAGGCATCCAGTATTTATTTTCAGACTTGTCCCTTGCACGTAGAGATGTGACATTCATAGTTTTCTTGAGGAACATTATTCTGAAATGGATTCATAATCTGTAGGTGCGTTTTTTTTTTTTTGTAGATTGGTGAACGGCTGCCTATTTTTCTTGGAGAAACTCTGAGATGTCCTTTTTATACCTGATCGTGTTGCCAATTAACCTAATTAGGAGCAAAATCTGATTCCAGCGGTTTTTATCAAACTCAAAATATGGCAACAGTTTTTATGATTATGCTTAAACATTTGGGGTTTTTTTGTTGTATTTTGAATAGAATATGGGTTTAAGATAACCACTGCATCCTGTTTTTATTTACATTTACATGTCCTCTCACCACTACTGTTCTCCCTCTACACTAACGACTGCATCTCCAAGAACTCGGCTGTCAAACTCCTAAAGTTTGCAGATGACACCACTGTCATTGGCCTCATTCAAGATGGTGATGAGTCTGCATACCGGCAGGAAGTTGAGCGGCTGGTACTCTGGTGCAGTCAGCACAATCTGGAGCTGAACACTCTTAAGACTGTAGAGATGACAGTGGACTTCAGGAGACATCCCTCAACTCTGCTCCCCTCACATATCAGACAGCTGTGTCAACTGTGAAGACCTTGAAGTTCCTGGGTACAACCATCTCCCAGGATCTGAAGTGGGAGACCAACATCAACTCCATCCTCAAAAAGACCCAGCAGAGGATGTACTTCCTGAGACAACTGGGGAAGTACAGTCTTCCACAGGAGCTGCTGATCCAGTTCTACACTGCGGTCATTGAGTCTGTCCTGTGCTCCTCCATCACAGTCTGGTATGGAGCAGCCACTAAACAGGATAGGAGCAGACTGCAGCGGACTGCACGGGCAGCAGAAAGGATCATCGGCATGCCCCTGCCCTCCATCCAGGATCTGTACCTCTCAAGAACCAGGAAACGGGCAGGGAAAATCATCACAGACCCCTCACACCCTGGACACAGACTTTTTGATCTGCTGCCCTCTGGCAGACGGTACAGAAGCCTGCAGACCAGGACCACCCGACACAGGAACAGTTTCTTTCCCCTCGCCATCTCCCTTCTTAACAGTTGACCTGTCACACTGCTCCCACTGCCAGACTGCAGCTGCACCTTATGTACATTTTGTAGTATTCATTCCACCTCATTCATTTCTGTTTATATGTATATAAGTTTAGATTCGTTATTTATAGTTGGTTTACACAGCTTTGTGTATGTATGTGTAATGTGTATATATAGACACGTGTGTGTGTGTGTGTGTGTGTGTGTGTGTTTACATTGTTGTGCTCGAGAGACACCATCTACCAGAACCGAATTCCTTGTATGTGTTTGCACATATACTTGGCCAATAAACACGATTCTGATTCTGATTCTGATTTTACAGTGTCCCAACTTTTTCACAAGTTTTGTCACTGTGGGAAAAAAAGTTAAATGTAGTAATGCTGCATTGAATCAGTTAAGGCTTCTCTCAGCTGTGAATCTCAAAAGCTTTGTACACATCAGTGGAATTGCTTGTGCCAAAAGTAAAATGACTGCAGACAACAATACAAATAACCATTAGTTTTAAATATAGATATAAATTAAACTTTACTAGATTATTTGACAGGCTAGTGGTGGGTAAGTGATGCACTCCCTTAATTTTAAGTTTAACTAATCATTTTTAAATATATTTGGTTGTTCTAAGACAGTATTAAATGGAAATAATCCATTCTCTGTTTTACTTTATGATGGGGAAAGAAAAGGGGCAGTTAAGCGAAACTGAAGGCTAATGAAAATACGTTAACAAACATTTGTAGCTTTTGTCTAACAAAAAAGTTGCTCATGCTTAGGACCAGTCTTGTGTACAGCCAAGATCACCCTGAAATAACATCATTAGATTGCATGTAGTTTGCTGTGAGACTGTCACTGTTGAAGTTTAGCATTTTGTAATGATGAAAATCGAGGAAATTTTAACAGCAGGAATCCACCGGGAAATTTTAGGTGTAGGTGTAGTCATAAAAGATGTTGGAAGACATGTTTAAAAGGGTTGTTTCTTCGGTCTCCGATGATGACTATTTGCAGCTCATAATTTATCCACATTTGATTAAAAGGATATGTCTAAGGATAAGCCTCCTTTGAATCATTTGCAGGGCTGGAGTGATGGGTGTGTGGATCACTGATAGACTGATGAAGCTGCTGAGTTAATGCAGGTGGATATCGATAAAGTGCACATGCTTGCGTGCATGGAAGCTTAGTGAGTTTTATGCCTCTCATAGTGGGTGATGGAGTGTACCCAAGCACAAAAGGTTGAGGACAGCTTAACAGGCTATTAATATCCTCCAAAGCTTGAAGTCTGTTAACACCAGCATCTAAAATCCAAGGCTATATCACAACATTTTGTGAACATTTCTCATTTATTTAAAAAATGGTGGTCTTCATAGTGATAACCTTGTCATATAAGTAAATCTCTATCATTTAATTTTCAAGCTGAACATTGGCTATGATAAAAGAACACCACTGCATTAAAAACCTCTGCAAATGGTGTCAAATAAATCCTGGTAATTTGTAATTCAATCTTTTTTTTTTTTTAAATCAGGGAGTGAACCATGTGTCACGGGGGTGAGGAGAGCCGTGTGAAAATAATAAATGAGGATCCAATCGCAGGCAGTAGTGGAGAAGTGAAGGTGGTTTATTGAACACGAAATAAATATGGACAAACAGCAAATGGAGCACGAACTAAACTAGACTGGAAACAACTAAACTACAGAGCACAAACCTGGACAAGAATGAGAACGAGCAGAGGAGCTGGACAGCAGGGAGAACACACGGGTGAGACATGGTGGATACACAGACAGACCAGCAACTACAATGACAGAGGACACGACTTAAATACACAGAGAAACACAGGGGAATTACACACAGGTGGTGGACACAGCTGGGAGTAATCAACAAGACGAGACAGAGGTAAAACTGAACACACTCACATGAGACGCAGACCTTCACAATAAAACAGGAACAAGAAACCATCACACAAAGACGCAGACTCGACACTGAGAGACAGACAGAAAATGACACATGGAACTAAACAAACCTGCAAAAACATGACAACTCAAAATACTGGGTTAAACTGACCCAGAACCGTGACACCATGACTGGTAATTGCTTAAAGCTTTTTAAAAATTAGATTTATGAAAATTATTTTTGCTCATTTAAATAAACTATAATAAATAAATGATATGCATTTTCAAAATGTCAGAATTTACAGAATTCTAGTGTTTTACAGAAACATCAATAACTCTCAAGAAATGAATAAAAGAGGATATAAAACATGTTTTTACCTTTTGTATTACCTAATAGATCCCTAGGATCCGCTATATACGTTTGTCTCTATACACTGAACATACTTTGTACAAATTTGATATAATTATAAGATATCACTATTTTTACTCTCACATTTACATGCTATGCTATGAATAGAGCCATGTTTTGTAGGGGCAGGGATAGCTCAGTAGGTAAAGTGGTCGCCCCATGATCGGAAGGTCGGCAGTTCAATCCACTTAACGGCTACCCTGAGGTACCCCTGAGCAAGGTACCGTCCCTACACACTGCTCCCCGGGCGCCTGCTTAGTGGGCTGCCCACTGCTTCACTGAGTGAATGGGTCAAATGCAGAGAAAAACAAGTAATTTCCCCATGGGGATCAATAAAGTATCCATTATTATTATTATGTTTAGTTGCATGTTCAATGACAGCAGAAAATGTCTTGATGCCTCAAGTCAAAGGAGAATGACCAAACTGCTTTGAGCCGTTAGCAAAGCAACAGAAAACTAATAACCATTTGCTACAATTCAGGTATGCAAAAAAATGCACAACCTGCTAACCCTTGAACAGCAGCAGAAGACCACACCAATCCCATTCCTGTCAGAAAAGTGTTGGAGTGTTTACTTACGGAGAACAAGAACTCCATGGCGTAGCGACTGAGCACGGTTGGACTCCACAGTGAAATTCAGCATGGTGGGATTTGCACCAATCATGCAGACACGGTTGTCTTGCTCAGCCTCACGAACATCCGCAACAGCTGATTGGCAATGACCCCATTCAGAACAGATATGGCCACCATCGGTATGACAAAGGACAGGAATGCATTTACCTGTTCAAAAAGAGAGAAGGCTGTAAACACTGGAGATTAGTGCTGACAGAAAAACTATGTATCTGCTTCACTAAGATAAAATGTATATATGTTATTTAAAAAGCAAACAAATAGAACAAAACCCCCAAAACAAAACAAAAACCCAGTGTCCCTCGAGGCTGATGATTGGCCCTACCGCCATAATAGGTTGGAGATTAAAGATGGCTCCCGTGTTTCTTCTGTTTGCATCTATATCTATAATATATGTTTGGCCCATCTTTCAGTTTACTTCTTGTTTTATGTCAAGATTACCTGTATGGAAAATATAAATATCTATATATCTATATATATATATATATATATATATATATATGGCTCTTCCAAACTCACATTTAGTCAGATTTACAGTGAGTGATGCTTCCTCGAAACGCTTAAAAACAGTTAAGAGGGTTTGGAGATGTGCTCCAGGAAGCAGAATAAATGACCACATCATCTAATTAGGCCTCACAGTTAGGGACCCCGGCCAAAACCTTAGCCATCAGGCGCTGAAATGTCGCTGCCGCATTATGCAAACCAAAGGGCATCACGGTATACTGAAGGAAGTGATCGGGGGTAACGAATGCAGAGATCTCAGACGCTCTTGCAGTTAAAGGAACCTGCCAATATCCCTTTAATAAATCCAATTTGGTCACATAAGTAGCGGATCCCATCCGATCAACACAGTCATCCATCCTAGGTAATGGGAAAGAGTCTGCTTTAGTGGCCGCATTCACCTTTCGATAATCCGTGCAGAATTGAGGAGTATTGTCAGATTTGGGCACTAACACACATGGGGAGCTCCATGCGCTAGCACTTGGAACGGCTAAGCCATGCTCAAGGAGGTAATTGACTTCTCTCTGCATTATTTCCCTTTTTACTGGATTCACCCGGTACGCATGTTGTTTAATTGGCTTATGCCCCTCCACATCAATGTCATGACTTAAGACAGTCGTTTGACGCTGGTGATCAGAGAAAAGTTATTTTTTGTCAGAGTAATGATATCAGTTTGAGCAGTTTCAGGTAAATCGGCAACAAATGATTCAAGATCATTTAAAATTACTGCATTTTTCAGCCCACTTCCTAATGCAGCATCATCCCTCCCAGATAATCCGTCATCCGACAGTTTGTAGGCGGGGAGGATGGCAACAGCGCACACCGGGGAGCTGTTGTATTTTGCTTACGGGGATAGAACAGTTTCTTTTTTTTCTTTTTTTTGCCTGTCCCATTTGGTTCTTTAGCCATCAGAATTGTTGTCTGAAGACCAACAAGGATACCCAATGGATTTACTTTGCCAAATGGATCATCGTGGCATTGCCGTATTGGTCCATTTGATTGACCTTTGTTTTTATTGTTTATTATATTTTATTTTCAGATGTTACAGACGACAGACATGAGTGAGGGATAGGAAAGGGAGAAAGAAAGAGGAAGGAAAAGAAAAACAGAAGGGGAGAGGGACAGTGAGAAAGGGGGGGAGAAAAAAAAATCTCCTGGATCACCTGTTGAGAGAAGAAGAATAGAAAACAAGCAAAAAAAACCCCAAAGCAACATACTAAACACAACACCATCGCATTAATCTAGCTAAGTGTAAACAGCAGTAAATACTGAATATTCAATGTTGCTGTGCAGCACGCAGGACAGACAGCGCACAATGTGCTTTGAAGTAGCAGCCAAGAAAGGTGTAATTTAAGTCTACGAGCAGTGAACACCCGTGTGCATACCTGTGTGGATCAGCGCGCTTGTATTCAAATGGTTTCCACATGTAATGGTCTGCAAGAGGATGTAGCGAGCCATAGCCCTGTCCCCAGGGCATGAAGCAGGCATGGAGGAGATCCAGGCCCCAGACATCCAGAGGCTCCCAGAGCACGAGAGCCCAAAGAGGACCACCGGAGGGGCATCCGTGCCACCCTCATGGGAAGGGCTGAGATTCCCCAGACGAGGCGTCACCCAGTATCCACCGAGCAGAAGCTAGAGGGGGCTGCACCGGCGTGCCCGCCGGCTCTGCCGGCAGCCAGCTGTGCCAGAGTGAATCGAGCCGCAGGCCCAGAGGCCCCTGCACCCCGGAGGAGGCCTGACTGAGCAACAGGCGCCAGGCCCCGCCAGGCAGCCACTGGGAGTGAGCCGGTACATACCTGAGCGCCCAGCCCCGGACACCAAGAACCACCAATGCACCGACCCCTGAGGGCATCAGTCACCGGCAGGGAGTGTGGTGAGGGGAGATAGGCCTTGGAGGGCCTGGGAGTTCCAGAGAGGTGGAGTCTAAGACCCGACCTGACATATAGACACAGACAAACAGGTACACACAGACACAAACATGCATTCCCACCCTCATGCACACATATACAAACACTCAGCACTCACCCAACGGAAGGATTGACATAAATGGACATGTACACACAATCACACTCCCAAACATACTCTATACCCGGGTCCAGGTACCCTCGCCCCAGAGGGGGAAACAGAACCCAGACCCAAGAGATGTTACCCTTCCCCCCGGGTGGAGGCAAGCAGACCGTCCCAGGCTCCGCAGCAGCAGGGAGGCCAATCGGACAGCTAACATCTCCTCCCAGCCCCCCCGCTCCAATGACTAGCAGAGAACGGGGGTGTGTGAAGACCCATACCTCCCTCTCCCGCTCATGTGTAGTGTTGCTGCGTGTTGTTCTAAAGTGCATTTAAAACAAGGGAGAGCATGGCCATACCACCCTGAGCAAGCCCGACCTCGTCTGATCTCGGAAGCTAAGCAGGGATGGGCTTGGTTAGTACTTGGAGGGATAGAACAGTTTCAACGTATTCACATGACAAACCCTGGTTTTTCGCCGCCGATCTGGAGTGCGAATCACATAATGGTTATTGTCGAGTTTACATTCAACACTGTAAGGACCAGCAAACTGTGTTAGTAAACTGGACCCTACCACAGGCAGTTCATCTCAGCTTTTTTGTCAAAACGAGCCTTCAT